AGTTTCAACATATCCCAATGACATCGCCACCCAATCCGCGAAATACCCGACGCTATGAAGTTGTATACCGGTCTAGATATTTTGTTTTTCTAGAAAAGGACACGCAAGTTAACTATTCAGACTCAAGGTGTGATAAACAAAAACATTCCGAATAATTTTATTCTCGAGGTTTTGCAAGGGTCCAGTAAGTTTCCCCAAGGAGAAAGAAGCTTTCGACTGGCTGCGGAGGTAATCAAATAAGTATACAGACGATGAATGTTGAAATTATAACTAATTTTCACACTCGAGTTTATGTTACTTCATCCACAAGTACTATCGATTCTTGACGACTAGACAGGGACAACCTCTTCGTGGAAAGCTACTTGAGAGAAACTGATAACTCGTTTTCCAAACTCATTTCGTTTCCTTCAAGTCCAACATGTCAGGCTTGCCTGAGTATAAGTTTATAAAATTCAATGATTATAATTATGAAAATATGATGATAATAATGACGATGGTTATAGCATTAATAGCGGAGCTCGCAGTGCACGCAGCGCGCGCAGCGCAGCCCCTAATTATACAAAACAGTAGTAGTAACCCATCAAGTCGAAAAAATTTGGACTTATGACGGGCATCATCGTACCCGAACAAAGTAGCACCTTGTACGGGCGTCCGTACAAGGTGCTACTTTTAGCATACACAGTCAACTGTACCGCGGGCACGCCAACGCCACGGCTTTAGTCTTGTCCAGCGGGCGTTTGAGCCCAACGCGTGCGCTACACTTTTACATAGCTGAGGAGACTGGGTTCGAAATAAATTTCGTGGATGGTACGTTAAGCATGCCCCGCCGAGAGCCCTGCGGGCTCATCCTGCGGGAAAAAAAAGATGCGAGCTCCTCTTTTAGGCTTGGCTAAATCTATATATTAATGATCTGTGTACCGTACACCTATGATGCAAATGCTTTTCTGTGCCCACTATGGCAAGTTACAATTAGTGTACGACTTTGACTCCTTGACTCCCAGAGGTGATTAACATGTAACTTCTCCCTGTAATGTTCATAAATTATAGAGCAAACAGGTAGTGAAAATACTCAAACTAATCAGGTAAATGCTGTTACCTTGATGGAACACCAAATTCTCATAACCAACTTACAAGGAAATGTGTAGCAGCTAGAGGGGAGAATTAACAATCAGATCTTGGAAGTTAAAGAGTTACAAATAGTTTTGGAAATCTCTTGTCAAATAAAATGACGACCCCCTCAAGTGAGCTGCAATTTGAGCGAATTGCAGGAAAAGCGATTGTTTCAAAAACTTATGATCAAAATTTCTGCTGTCGTTAGAGAAAACAATTTACGTTCTGCCATTAAAAATATGTTGACTGGAGAGACCAGAAATAGACCAATCGTTGAATTATCCTTGCTACAGGCTTGCCATTAACAACGATACAAATCATTGAAGTAACATATTGAACAAGAATTTCTGTATATTCTTCCGTAGCATCTAGCGGATGTATCCATATAAGAAGGCTGCCGGCAGACTCAACCTCATCATTTTAACCAACTGAACTTACGCCCATCTTATCCTTTGCTTTTGTTAATATTCTGAACTCAGAATTTAATCTCAGTTGTGAAGAGCCGTTTTGTCAAGCAGAACCGGTTGCTAAAGTTTACAAAGCCAATAACCAAGTCCGTGTATTCTCAATCACTGACTTGATTACCTTTATTTCAAGGGTGACATGATGCATGTTCGACGAGACGAGATCTGTGAAATTGCGAAGAGTACCTGTTGAGCGTCACGAGACGTGTGAAGTCGCCGGCAGAAGAGCCATGAACTAACCGCGTACAAAAATGATTGAATTGTTATAACATTGTTGTAGCCAGGGTGCACGGTTCAAGTCTGAATCAATAAAGGATGAAAAAAAAAAAAAAANCTGATGGGTTTTCAATCCTGTATAAAAATTCGTTATTATTATTATTATTATTAAGTTATTCCTGCAACGGAAGGGAACGGACTGAGTGTATCCTAACAGCGCATTTCTCCCTCGCTATTCAAGATGCATAAATGACAGTTTCTACACAAGCTGTTCCTTTTTTTAACTCCATTCTAGCCTCACAATTTCATTAATAAATTACGATGCTGCTCACGGTGAGAAGGATAATGACAATTTGAAACAGCAGATCAAAACATTGGACCAACTGAAAAAAAACATATCTTTGATCCAAGTACTTTACCGACCAGGAAATCTTGCAGTTGGTGAAAGATATGACCAACGTACAGTCGCAGCCTCCCCTCGTATCCCCACGGTGGGAGGGTGCGGCTACACGTAAGCTATGAAAGACCGCGCAAGGACGACTCAGACTCTTGTTGAACATAGAGTTATAAATACACAGAGGGGAGCCAAAATTTGTTTAATGTTTAATATTCAAATGTTTACGTTCTCAAAAACAGTAGCAAGTAAAATCAATGTGAAGAGCAGTCATATTTCTACCCTCCCCTCCCCTCCTAACACCCAAACAAAAGCCAACCAAGAGTTTATGTGATCAAGCGATAAAGAAATTACTTAAATAGTGTTTAGAATATGTACAATTACTCTTCATTTCCAAAACTCGTGCAATTCTGTCTTTCTAACCCCTTTTAGATATCCCATCCCAATTTCCATGGCATACGAAGAAAAACCCTCTCTTCGTGAAGAAAATTTGACGCAGAGTTGTTTAAAATATATCGTTTAAAAAGCCATTTATAAATCACACTGAACTATTCACTTCAACGAAAATTAAGATAAAGTGCGAGGCTGAACTACGCGTGGAATGCGAGGACAGATCGCATAAAGGAAAAAGTTTCTCCCAGCTTTCAAACTGAGAAAAACAATCCCATGTCAAAATCCAACAAAAAACAAAACAAATAATTGCGTTCCGATTTCAACAGACATTACATCGATACTGACAATCACTTTCTGTAGAGATTTTCTTTGGGTTTTTCTCCCAAACCTAGCCATGCTAACTTAAGAAACAATCTCTAAAAGGTTCGTCACAAGAAAAAAAAAATATCAGCGATACAATATATATATATCTTAATATATGAGTAGGAAAAAAAAAACGAAAAATGTAACAAACGAAAATTAATAATAAATGTCCTTGGTCCGTGATGTGGAGTCGTATCGTAAACTTTGTTCATAAAGTGGTCGCGATAGCATTGTAATTCTAAAACTGAATTCATTCCTTGAGCTGAGCTCGTTCTTTCTTCTTTCCAGTCTACTTTTCTCTTAGCCGGCACGCTTCGTTCGGTCCGTCTAAGATGGCGTTCAGTACACGCCGCCGTTTAGCGTCTTCGTCAAACGTCTTGCGACAACACGTCGCCGTTTCAGAGTGTTCCTTTGAACAGTCCCCAGGTTTTATCGTCGTCGCGATAGTTTGGATGGGTTCGTCTCATGTTCGTGAATCCGTAATGAGTACCATCGGGTAGAGAGAAAGAGAGAGAGAGAGAGAGAGAGAGAGAGTGAGACGATATCCTCGTAACGTTTGTACTCGGTAAGTGTACAACAGTCTTGTCTCGTAAACCCCGTGTAGGGACGGGGGTTAACGCTTGTTAGTGCGTCTCACAGCTTTCTTGAACTTTCTCTGCATTATATTACTGGGATCTCCCGCAATGCCGGTGGTAAACAAGGGGCCCCCTGGAGGAGGGGCACTTCCCGCTACAAAGCTGAATGCTCCAGGGCCTCCTATATTGTTGTTAGCCGTTACCGCGTTAAAGTTGAATCCACCTGGAGCGGGAGCTGTTAACCAAAACAAAAACGACAAAAGTTAACTCTTTCTCCCTCTCAAGAATATTAAATGCCAAACTAGCTGAAAATAATTACCGGCAACTGATGGGCCAGTATTGGCTCCAAATGTGGGAGCACCTCCGCCTCCACTGGCTCCAAATGTGAAGGTGCTTGGAACCGAGGCAGCCTGAGCGGCCCCAAAATTAAACCCTCCAGAAGAAGGACCACTTGGCGCCCCAAAGGGAAATCCTCCATTGGAGCCTGCGGTACCAAATGTTGTTCCTCCTGTATTGGCTAGCAGATCGAAAAAGAAAACTAATATTAATAAATTAGACCTATCAAATCGGGCGATCACAGTCACCAATAACAGGCCAAAGCAACTATAATGTAATAACGCGTTTATCATGCTTAAAGGCATGAATAGAGTAGCATCGATAATACGCTATTCCACTGAGTGTCTGATCACCCTCACAACACCAAGTATATTCTTCACGTTTCTCCGTACCTTCTCCAAGGTGCTATACCTTGGAGAATTTGTTTAACGATGAAGATCTTCTTTAGTTGGTGATCATTTCCTCTATCCAACTAACCTTGCTATGTGATTCAGGGCTGAGATTGTAAGGGGAAATTAAATGGCAGTCACCCCTTGAGGTCAAAGGGTTAAGGGCAAAACCACTACCGAGGAAAACTAACTATATAAATACACGTGAAAATATGAAAACATTCTCTATTTACTTTATTTTTCCAAATGAATGATCGGAGGTGACACGAGTGGTCTGAACCAATGAGCTATCGCTTGTACTCTTCACGTTTTATAAGTTCAATTCAGTTTTACGGCGCATTTTTTAAATTTGCGTTTGCCAGGCATCCAGGTTTTCCTTAGTTAAATCGTTTCAACTGCACTGTATGCACTGTACCTGCTGAGCCAAACAGATTGCCAGAACTGCTGCTACCATCGGCTTCCATGGTTTCTTCTGGAGCAGGTGTAGCATTAGATGATGCAGCACCAAACATGAATTGCTGAAAGAAAAAAAATTCGAAAGGCGTGATATTTAACAACCATTCCCGAAGTGGAGGTGGCTAGTGGTGGATTAATTACCGAGATGCGAAGTTGAGCAACAAAGCTTTAGCTCGCGCGCGATTGGTCTGCACACATCACGTGATCGAATACGCCTAAGCTGAAACTGGGAAATATCCGAGGACATACCCGAGGACATACCGGAAGTGAGATTCCCCAATTTTAAAAACTTTACCGTCTACTGCGACAAAAGCGGTCGATTAAGTTCAATTCAAGATAGACACAGTTAAGCTAATGGTAAAGAAGACCCGAGTTTGTTTGCTCTAAAGTCGTACCAGAAAAACACAAAAAAACATTTAACCCGCGCGTTACAAGAATATTTGAAAGATGATGAACACAATAGCCTCCACTTAGCGCGAAAATATGCATGGTTACTTGCCCTTGGACATTCCTTTTTTCGAAGATCCGAGAGCGATGCCCAGGCAGATAGTGCCCGCGGACAAATATCCGGGCCTATTTTCGCGCCAAAATGGAGGCTGTCGTTTAATATTCATATGGAAAACTTACTGTTTGCTGGTTTGATGAGGGTTGTGAAGCCCCAAAGCCAGGGAAGGTTAGCTCCGGCTTTGGAGCTGATCCCCCAAAGTTGAACGAGGGCTGACCACCTCCTGTGGGCACAGAGGGTTTTGCTGGAGCAAATGGAAAAACAGGTGCGGTCGATCCACTGTTAAAAGAAAATGCCTTAGCTGGGTCCGAACTGGAGGTGATTGGCGCGGACGTTGCTCTAAATGGTGCTACTGCAGGTTGTGTTGCAGAACTTGTCACTGCTGTAGTATTTGAAGCACCAAACTGAAACCGTCCTGTTGTTATAGATGGAGCAGCCGGCTTCAAGGAACCTGAAGCTTGGGTGCTTGGCGGTGGAAACTGAAAAGTTCCTGTTGCAGGGGTCCCGGTAGTGTTCGTAAGACTGGAGCCAAAACTGAACGACCCTGCCGGAGTATTTGTTGGAGGTGCAGCATTTGGCACGAACGAGAACGGCGCAGAGGCCGTACTTTTCTCTGGTTGTGCAGTGTTAGTAGGAATTCTAAAGGGTGACTGAGTTAGACTTGTTGTCTTAGCTGCTTCAGATTCCGTGCTAAGTGCAGATGCTGAAGCTGCTCCAAACTGAAATGTTGGTAAGCTGGATCCCTCAGGGACTGAGGGATTTGCCAAGGGATTGCTGGTGGAAGCTGCTGAGCTAGAAGCTGCAGCAGGGGTGGCTGCTGACGATGAAGATGCTGCAGCCCCAAAACTAAATGGCGAAGGTGCTCCAGATGGTGCGGTAAAGAAACCTCCTAAGCTGCCAGAATTCGCTGTCAACAGAGTAAAAGAAAATCTATCAACATTAAAACTATACATATCACAAACAGCTAGAGATCGAGGGTAAAACATTCAGGACTGTTGAGAGTGTCACCCAGACTGAACAAAAAGCAGAGCAAAGATAATTTTCACCCATAAATTTCGATGCATTTTTTTTTGTCACAATTCCTACTACATCACTGCTGCTACCTAGACAATGTCAATAACCAAACAAAAATCACACTTTGTGTCTCAAAAATCAAGATCATTCAGTAAATAATTTTAACTAAATGTGTACAACAGTGCTGATTCTTTTGACCACATTCAAGGTGTTTGGAGTTGTGATGCGAATCTTAAGTGTTTCAAATGTATTCCCACCCAAATGGATCATAAAGATTAATCCAAGAAGCGAAATAACGGATAAAATGTAAGCTTATTAACATCAGATATCCAAACCACCTCAATAACTAAATTCGCTAAAAATCATTGAATCATTTGTTGGTTTAAGAATTTCGAGTACCTTTATCTTTTACGTTATATCTTTTAAAAAATTCCAAAAGAAAACTCTTGCAGCAGGTTTTTATTTTTCTAACTATTTAGTTGCGTTTGACTCCAAGAGCATCATTTCCCATTCAAAACATTTTTCTTTTCACAAACCTGCAGAAGAAGAATTTGAAGATGCATTGGGTTGGCTGGCAGCAGGCCCTAGTGCGAACAAATTAACATTGGGAGGAGCACCAGGATCAACTGTAACAACAAAAGAACACAGAGCGACTTTCAATAATCCAGTCAGTGTGGATGGGTGCCAGGAATGGAAACTCAGGACGGGGCAGTGTGCTCAGTTGGCACAGAACTGCTTCAGGTATCCACACCTTAAAATGAAGTTCCCTCTTTTGTCTGTCGATTTAAAACTAAAGTGCATTCAGTACATCGACCAGTTACCTACAAACTAACCTTTGGTTGCAGCAACTTCAGGTACTTTGAGAAAGCCTGACTTGGCAGCATCAGCAATAGACAATCCAGCTCCAGCCTGTTTAGTTGACTGCACTGAAACTTCAGTGTCTTTCACCTCTGGCACCTTGAGAAGTCCACTGGCTGCAGCTTCAGCTCTGGAACTTGCTTTGCCTTAAAAGAAATTCAGCACAAGAAAGGTTGACAACCATCCCTTACTCAGAAAGTGTTATTACATTTCTAGGGCTACCAGTGAAACAGCATGTCCAAAACATGTTCACGACCACATCTGTGAAACAACATCACTTATAAAAGTAAGAATATGGGGTTAAGTGCTTCATTTCCAGTGGTAGCTTCTGCCTGTAACATTGGCACAAGGCAAATCTTAGATCTGCTTTTAATTACAAACTTGTTCACAAAATCGAGAATTCGAGAATACCAACCAACAACAGCATCAAAAAATCATTTGTACCTTTTTTGGAGGCATCAAGGGTAACTTTGTTAGCCCCATATGTAAACCCTTCAGAAGTGGGTTTGTCATTCTCAACAGAACTGTTCACTCCAAAACTAAAGGATGGCTTACTGTTGTGATCTTTGCCTAATTGATCATTAGCTGAAACACCAAAAGCAAAAGTTGGAGCACTTGTCTTTATTACATTTGAGTCACTGGCTTGAGATGTCGAAGCACCAAACCTAAATGTAGCTGGTAGTTTAGTGGCACCTTCAGGCATGGAGTCGTTGTTGCGATTTTGATCTGCTGTAGCTCCAAAAGTAATTGATCCCGAAGTGCAAGATTCACCATTTGTTTTAGTATCTACCCCACTGCCGAACCCTACTTTAAATGCCGATACTGAGCTAGAACTTGCAGCCGCTGAGTTTCCCGTTCCAAACTTGAAGGGTAAAGAAGAAGAAGAGGAAGAAAAGGTCTGCCCACTACCTAAATTGAATCCACTTGCAGTAATTACTCCTGGTTTAGCTCCAGGCTTTGGTGTTTGACAAGCAGCACAACTCGAATCCTCACTTTTATTATCAACCATGCAAGTGTCACAAGTCCAAGTGCCAGCCTGAGGTGCAAATTTGGCTGCTAAACTACTGTCTGGTTTAATATTTGATGAAATGCCAAATGAAGGCATTGCTGTAGCAGTTACTGTTTCAATCTTGGTAGTACCAGGTTTTGGCATTTGGCAGGCACTACAGGTGTTGTCTGTTGATTTATTTTGAACCATGCAAGCATCACATTCCCAAGAATCAGCTGGCAAAGCAAACTTCTTCTTCAAGTCATTGTCGATAATGATCACATGTTTTGATGATAACCCAGGTGGTTTAGCACCCGCTTTCGGTGTCTCGCAAGCAACGCATTTTGCTTTGCTTGCATCATTGTCAGTCATAGATGTATCACAGGACCAAGACCCTTGTTTTGCAGCAAACTTTTGCATCAAGTCATTGTTGGAAGGGGCTGGCTTCCTAGCATTTGGCTTTCCATCTGATGGCTTGGAACTTTGACAAGCCACACACTTCATATCTGTTGCTTTATTTGACACTAAACATGTGTCACATGTCCATGAGCCAGACAAGGGTGTAAATTTGCTGAGAAGATTGTTATTGGGTTCCACAGGCTTCACTGTTTCTTTCAACTGTTGTGAAAAAAAAAAAAAAAGAGAAAAAAGTTACATCCATCCCTGCCAACAGTTTCCTGTTTCCTCAAATACTTGGGCACATGTTAGTATAGGTGCACCTAAATCCTTAAAAGGGAAAGCAAGAGCTAATTCCCAAAAACCTGTCATCTTCCCTTGGCTTAAAATATGATGCAAGTCTGAGGAAATTTTTTTCCCCCATAAAGAAGCCTGGGCCACAATAATTTTTGGGAAAATAGCAGCCACTCTCCCCAAATACGCCTTTATCTGTTTCATTCCAGCAAATCACTTCTAAGGCATTGCTGCCATAGGGCTTAAACTATTCATCAACCTCTACCAAAAGGTACCTCCCAATTTTTAAAAGGTGAATACTTGTTGGCTGTATAGATGAAAAGAATTATTGTGCTTGGGCAAGTAAAGGTGTTTGGGAGAGGACGATAAGTTTGCTAAAACCACATAGTTAGATGCAAGAAGTGGCTGGCTCTGTTTAAATCAAACTTTTTGAAAGTGTTCAATTTTACCTTATTACACGACTCGGGCAGACAGAGGGCCAATAACTAAAATCAACCAATCAAAATGCTCTATTGCTGGTCAATATTCTCTCAGTATTGGACCGGGCACTGTCCCGAATGGTCCCGAATGATACCGCACTTGTGTCCCTTTGAACTTCAGTCGTATAATAAATCTCTTATTAACCAAGCTTGCTCGGGACCGTACTGGAAGAATATCGGCCCTCGGTCTTTTTTGTAGCGACCTCGCTGCGCTTGGTCCGTACTGTCAAGACCTCAGGCCAATATTTTCCCAGTACAGTCCTCGCGCTTGGTTAAAAAGATATATATATTCTACAATGAAAGTAACAGCATCTACCCATACTGTACCTCTGAAACTCTATTTATTTCCTGTTTGTCTATGACTGATTTATTCTCATTGTTTGTACTACTGCAAAGCAACAAGATAATCAGCATTAGAACTGCTATTAAACTTAGCATAGAATATACTGGTGTGTAAACCGCACATATGTTTATCTCCCAAAATCAATGCTTGAGTGGGTTTTTGTAAACTGAGAGGTTTATTATGGCATAAATCTCATTTTTTTACCATATTTTACAATATCCCTATTCTGTGGAATCTGTATTAAACCATCAATTTTTATTTTGTGGTCACCCTGCCATTCTCTGTGGGTGACTGCCTAAGAAAGGTTCAACTGTAAACCAAATCTATCAAGGATGGAACAAGGAGAATGTATATTAACCCTTTAAAGCTTACCTTTTACTAACAGGAACAGGCTGACTAAAAGAAAACGTAATCTAAAAGGAACAAAAACAAAAACAAAAAAAAAGGGAAATTTTGATTTCGTCATACCTTCTCTTTATTTTTTACAAATGAAATCAAATTATAAAAATTTCTGCACTGCAGAATGTTTTTCTAACTGTCATGCATTGCACAGCTTGGAGCAACAAGTTTCATTCTTACTCACTTTGTTAGCACTACTCTGATTGTCCGCTGTTGTCGTATTAGAAAACACTGGCAACTTTGCTTCAGGGGACGAGAACTTAAAGTTATTTTTGGCAAAGTCCAAAGTTAATGCATTGGAGGCTACTGGCGTACTCTGAAAAAGAAGACTTTGATTATCATCTTAAAATAATTATCAGAAAACATTAAGCATAAATTTAAGTTACACAAACTAGCACATAAAGAAGTAGTACCGTGGCTGCAGGTTTTGTTGCTGTTTCAGAAACAGACTTAAAAGAAAAGGATGGCAGGGATTTTCCATTCGGTAATTTCAGTGGGACAGGATTCTCAACCTCAGGTATTGGATTTACAACCTGTTAAACAAAGGAGGAAACCATGATCAACTATTTATGACAATGAAACAGTTGCTCAACGAATACACTAATTATCCTTCAGTTCTAACATAATGAAGCAGACAGGTGAGAAGACACTAGGAGATATTGCAAGCCGCAGATGGAAGCAAAATTAACAATCGATACTTCACTAAAATAAATTCCACACCCAATCTACCTAAATGCAGCTTTATGCATCTGAACAAATAAATTTTTTAATGGTGTTTGACATAAGAATGCAATACCTCGTTTTCACTTTGGTCATCATCACCTCTATCTCTCTGCGTGTAATGACTCGTACTTCTTGCACTTTTCACTTTCCCCCCAGCCTTGGAGGACGATGGTGATAGAGAAATCGGTAAAGGTGTTGGAATAAAGGAGGACACTGATGGCTGAAAGGTATAAATTACATTGATAAATAACTTCAAAAAGAAGATAAAACTACTTTGCATCATTATTTAGTTTTGTACTAAAGTTAGAGATCATACATTAACCAACCATTACCCCCTACCCCACCCCCTTATCAGTGTGAACATTCTCCGCACCATTCTCTAACATTTCATAAAGTGCAAAGAGAATTTGTTCACCAATCAAGAGTTTCTTTGGTATGTCATCATTTCCTTTATTCTTGAGACCTTAATGGCTAAAGTGTGATAATGTTAGGAGAAATTAACTGCTTGTCACTCTTCACAATCTAAAGGTTAGGAACAAAGCAAAACTGATATTTTATGTGTCAATTACCTTGGAAAATGTTGGGATTGTGGTTGATGCCATAGAAAATCTGCTGGAAGGAAATTTATAGTCAAGGACAGGTGATACTGGAAACTCTCTCTTCAACTTGATTAGTGATCATTTTAAGAGTCTTGCCTACCCTTTTTCAGAAACAAATTTCAAGGACTCTTCTGGGACTGAGATTGCCTTTTCCAGGACTACAAATTTCACCTTGAACCCCTTTCACTCCCACGATTTCAAAATCAATTATTTTTATGGTCTGTATACACTTCTTATATCATAAATTCTGAAAACTTTATTTGTCACATTGATGCAAATTTCCAGGACTTTCCAGGACCTTAAGTCTTTCTCCAGGACTTTCCAGTCCTGGAAAATGTCTAAATAAAATTCGATGATTTTCCTGGTTTTCCAGGAAAACTGTGTCCAAAACACTGAAGAGTGAGTACTCACTGTGAACCTGATGAAGTAGCTGTGCTTGCTGGGGTGGAGGTTCCTTTTGCTCTCAAGCAAGAAATTGATGCTTGTTGAGGTGCAGAGAGATCTTGTACTGGAGGACCAGGAAAACGAGCCTGTAATATAATTATTAAAGAAGTGCTTTTGAGACAAATGCTTACGAAGAAAAAAAAATAGGCATATCATATCATAATTATCATACATCACATCAAACTTCAAATCTTTGACTGTTTTGGTGGCCATGCCTGTTTGGAACATACAAGCTATCAATTCTGTTTTAATCCTTTTAACATCTGTATCAACATTCTCCATACAATTCCTTTGGCCCTGACAACAAGGATTTGTTCCACAATCTAATAATAATATACATGAAAAAATTTCTCAGTTCTGATTGGTTAAGATGGATGCAGTTTTCAGTTAATTCAGTGCAGAAGAGAGTTAATTCACTGCAGAAGAGGGTTCATTCAGTGCAAAGAAAGAAAAACTAGACATTTTGATTGGTCAGAATGATTGGTCAATGTCAATGTCAAGGTCAATGTCAAGGCCAAGGTCAATGTCACTTGCAGGGTCTGAATAAATTATTTTGCACCTGATGCACCCACTTTTCTTCTGTGTAGTTATGAGAAGCTACCTCATATTTTTTCATGTATATTATTAATACATAATCACATGATTTTCTCATGCAATTTGGAATAAATGAGCACTTGTAAATTTTTTCAAAGACCACAAATTGCACTCGCCCTTTGGGCTCCTTCAATTTTGTTAGTCTTTGAAAAAATTTACTCATGCTTATTTATTCCAAATTGCACTTGAAATCATGTGATTACCTAGACAAATGTTCCGACGTTTGCAGTCAATTTCTTTATTCTCATGATCTTAAAGATTGATTCAGCATTATTACTGTCAGGAGAAATTAAAAGCTGGTCTCTCTTGGGGTGTTGTAAAGGGTTAACAATTCGCTTCTTTTAGAAGGAATCAAGCCTTGTTGACTCTGGTGAACATCTTAAAGCAATTGCCCTAGTTGAGCATTTCTGTGACAAGTTGAGCAGTCACTGACCAAAGTTGTGTGTTAATTAAGAGACCATTTACATGTACAATTTAAGATTGCTATATGATGACTTTGGACAAAGTTAAAATTGGAAAACTGCATTTTAGTAAGAGAAAAAAAAGGACTTCATTAACTTACCTTCAGAGAGCGTGTTGAACCTACAGCTCGAGAAGGAGGAGGAGCTCTTTTTCGCTGTGAAGGCTATAACAAGAGAGAATTTTAGTTTTTGTCAGATCAACTGTAGAATAATACTAAACAAACAGGGCTATTTTACCAATTGGCCACTCTGCTATTGTTGATAAGAGTGCACACAATACTGCTTGCATCAACGTGGTGCGTAATGGTCACACACTGAAAGAATTGTTCAGACTCGCTCATCAGCACCTCATGGGTCCACAACATATTGACCACTGCAATGATGACTATAAGTGTTGGTAAGAGTTCCGACCATGCTAAACCACTGTTGATTTGTCAAATTTGTATAGGTAATCGCATGGGGCCGAGTAAACTTAAGGATTAATATCACGCGTGTTTTCGGAAGTTGCTGAAATTGCCTAAGTCGCGCGGCGATGAGGGCAATTTCTGCAACTTCCGAAAACACAAGTGATATTAATCCTTAATTCTACGAGGAACCATGAAATTACTTGTTTATAATATAAGGGGCAAAACATTTTCTTACTGATCTTGCGCAAAACAGGATGACATTGTTACAAAACAAACAGAAATTTCTTTACCTAGGCAGCCGTTGCTAAGCGATTTTCAGCCAAGCCAATCATTTTCAAGTAATTTTTCCCAGGGCAATTACAAAAATTAAGAAAAAATGCCCTATGTCTTGACCAATCACAATTCAGTAATTTTGCCCATTATATGATAAACTCAGTAATACTCACTGAAAAAGAGAGGGGTGAAGCTGAAGGGGGAACAGGTGGTGTTGGTATTCTTCTGGCATCCTGGAATACAAAATTTATCAACCTTATAATTTCCAGAAGTGATTAACAAGTAACTTCTCCTTAAAATACCCATACATTATCTAGCAAACAGGTAATGCGAATACTCCATCTTATCGGGGAGAAGTTACTATCTAACTCTAACACCAAATTCTCATAACTTAATAATAAGGAAATGAGTAGCAGCTACAGGGGAGAATTACCAATCAGATCTTGGGAGGTAAAAGATTAAGTCAGAATAATTAATGGTAAAACCTTTCATCAAATTACTGCAGAACCAGTGGAGTATTACTGGCTAGCAATACTCACAATTAGGGGTGAGGACATGTTTTCTAAAGCATCAAGTATTCTCTTTGCTGTCTGACTGGTCACACCACTTCTTCCAGATGCTATAAATTGAGACAAAAAAAGTACACTATTTAGAGGTTGGTTCTCAAGACTTGTTTTCATCTCTGTTTCAGTTCACTCTTATAAAGCAAGAATACAACTGTTACTTCTGAGCATGAATCCAACTTACTTGAAATGGGCTTGGGTGTTATCACTTTCCTCACTGGCTTTGGAACCTAACAGAAAGTACAACATCGATTTAAATTGAGCTGAGGATGAATTATTTTTACCAGATTTATGACCATGAGTGCACTTAAATAACCTTCACATAATTAGATAGTAAAACACAGCATCCGTGTATAATAAAGATAGCATTAAATTTTGGCATCTCGAGAGTGATACAGTCCTAAAAATGTTTTTCCTTTCAAACAATACCTCTCCGAAAGTTGGAGAATTCATCCTCTGTCTTTTATAGCTTGAAGAATGCAGAGAAGAAGCACCCCCAAAAGATGTTTTTCCAGGATAAAATGAAGAAAAACCCCTAACTTCAGCTTGTTTAGGCTGAAAGGAGAAAAAAGACCTTGTAAGTACTAGTATTTTTTTCTATAATGAGACATCTAATAAAAAGACCATTCACAGACAAAAAATAAAAGAACATAATTCACTTAAGACTTGTTAAACCTCTCATTCTTGCACTGCCATGAAAGCTGATCCAGCTCTACATAACATCATCAAAAATAATTACATATCTTGTCAAAGCATAAAAAAAATAGTAGCATCAAAATCCATATTCCATAATTGTTTCATGACACTGCAACAGTATGAAAAGCTCCCCCCTCCCCCCAACACATCATTCTTCCACACCTTCCATACATAAAGGAAAGATCTAGCACACAGACTGGCTTTTACAGGGAAAATATTCAAAAATAAAGTAACATTTTGGCCTGTGGATAAAATATAGGTAAAAAATCGATCCCCACAATTGAGCTACAGTTAAAGAAACGGCAGGAATTCCATTGAGGCCTGACTTTTTGCAAGCTATTTTTTCTTTTACAATTTCTTTCATTGCAGCTCACTCGCAAGGATCATTTCTTTACTAGTAGGGAGAGTATTGTTTCTAAACTCTTTATACTCTAACATCAGTATGCATATTCTCCATTCTATTCTCTATACACTTCGTAAGGTGCTCACAAAGAGAAATTGTTTCACAATCAAGAACTCCTTCAGCTGGAGGTCATTTCCTTTCTTCTCCTGACCTTAATGTGTGATTCAGGAGTGATATTGTAAGGAGAAATTAGATGCTAGTTACTGCTAGGAATTTGAGGGTTAAGTCAGTAATTTTTCTGACTGCAATATAAACTATCTGAGCACAGAACAGCTAATGCTACAGTATTTGTTACATGAAAGGAGCATTATTACAGTGTACTTACTGGCAAAGGAGAACCAAAGGCTGACAGAGAGAAAGAAGGTCTGTTTTTGGGTATTGTAAAAGGCTGTGGATGGGACTCAGACAATGATGGAAATAACTGTGGCGTTGAAATATTTGATCCCTGGGATGTTGAAGCTTCTGGTAGAGGTTCACCAAATATCGTTGTATTTGGTCTTTTTCTGAGACCAGGAGTTGAAAACAAGGCAGGGGTGGATGTTTTAATTGAGTCTGATTTGCTCATCTCCTGTACTTCTGGGTGAATTACCCTGACATCTTCATCCTGTGGGAATAATTGTAATTTAACTCCAGATAAAACACTATTTTTGGTTTTGGAAAGACAAAAAATGTAATGAGCCAACTTGGTGTAACACTATAAAACCTGCAACTTAAAGCAGTAGGAAGATGTTCTATCATGAAACAATGCAGTTTAAGTCATGGGCAGCTGCAATGAAAAGGTTTGTGAGTAGACTCCATGGAACTCACATCACAACTGCAGACTGTATAGGGAAGAGAATATTAATAAGCCATGATTTATTGTTCTATTCTACAAAAAGGTCTCCTCCTAGTTTGCACTCATTCTAATCCTTGATATGATATGCAAATCTCCAAAAACCAATGTCCATGACAGAGCTGAATAACGTGCACGCATGCGCTAGATTTTGCCGCGGAAACACGGATTTTGAGTGGTTTGCATGGTTGCTTTCCTATTCTGTTGCTTTGAGGAGTCGTTTTCCTTGCCGCTTTTCTTTTAGAGAACAACCTCCAAAACCTTGGTACACCCCCTGAAAAGTTTCAAAAATGAATTTTCTCCTTAAAATCTCTGGAAATAGGAAAATACCTTCTACAAAAACAGAGTTCCTCGGTTTTAGAAGTCAGCCCTTACTATTTTCCACTAATTTTGCTAAATTTTAGACCTAGGACACTTGAGCCCGCGTTGTTGACCGCATACCCAATGATGTAGCATTTCATTATTCAGCGCTGTCGATGTCCACTATTATGCTGAATGGAAACACACAAGCAGAATGGTCAGCAGTTACATTTGTCATGTAAGCTTCACAAAGTGTCTTTCGCACAAGTGTAATTGGGTTTTGCAACAGAATTTTATTTCTGATGACAATTTTATGATGTTAGATGGCAACCATGAAAAAAGTTTAGCTAGGAGCCTTGAATGAAAAAAAAAGGGGAAAAAAGTGCTTACTCTTAAGCTGGGACTAAAGGGACCATTTTAAGAACAGTGTTTCATTATATCTATCCTGTTTTTTAACTACCATGTATCACTAGACAATATCCCTTAGTTTCAAATTCCACTATTCTTATCACCTGATTAATGGGGTAGCGGGTTAAAATTATAACAAGCAGTTATGTACACTTGGGAGCCTATGTAATGATTAGACCCATCAAATTTATCTTGACTTGATAGTCATTCTAAGCTGACATCTCTGGAATTCAGACAGCCATGTTGTATAGCAGGCTTTTTTTTTAAAAGGGTTTATTCTAAAAACTGGCTGAGCAGGGTCCAGTGGGCCCCTTTCTACAATTATAGGGGGCCCTTCACCAAGAAAAAAAAAACAAAAACAAAGAAAGGAGACACCCCAGCCAGCAATCAAACATATTTATACAGTCTAGTCAATGAGTGAACAAAAAAAAAAGAGAAGGCCACAGAGACAGTGAGATTAATGTTTGAAAAGGGTTTTAAATAACAGCTGCCAAATCCATCTTGCTTTCAGTTAAGTGCTCAAATAATTCACTTCAAAAATAAATAGTACTTTACAATAGTTACAATCCTTAGGTATAATTTTTCTCATCCCATTTCATGCTTAGACATAAGTTGTATGCCCTTTTTATTTCTTTCTTCAAACTGTGGAAATCCTGCAAAGCCAGGCTCTAGAATAAACCCTTATCTTTGTAATGAAAATACAGTATATCCCCAGTCTCTTGGAACTTCATTTCAGGTATAATCAAATTTAGCTGCATGGCCATTTAACCCAATCAGACTGAAATCATTCAATTGATTTTAATCCGGTTCAGAAATATGAATGCATATCCTCTACGATAAGCATCTGCAATTTTGCATCTTTTATGGATTTCCTGTTAAAAGCACACCAATCACTGTATATAACTAAGCTGTAGTCAAAGTTACAATCTGTAAGTCCATTTATGGATACGGTTTACAAACTTTTTCCTCTCAGGAAACTGTTAAGCTGAGCAAAACACTTGTAGACATATCAACTTGACTGATCTATGGTTCAATTACTAAGTAAAGTTGTAGAAAACTGACACTTCCAGCATTTTATATCAGTATGATAGCCATTTTGTGAGATGTATCAGAGAAGTTGGGCAATTAATAGTTGATGTAAAAAACTATTCTGACCTGCATACCTTTACATCTTACTTATTACATAACACAAACATTGAATTAAAAGAGTGTTTGACAAAGCAAAGTTACACTGCGAGAGGGATAAATGCTTCTACAAAAAGGACATGTATATAAATATTTGAGTTGAAGTGATACATGTAACATTTCGAAAGTTTACTTGCAATCAATCGAATTAAGGATGTGTAAGAATACACCAGCCTATTAGTCGGAAGTAGTACGTTCACTAATGAAAGCCAACAGGGCAACGGGGAGAGAAGTGTCTTGTGATGAACTAAATGATGATAAAACTACTCTCGTTTAGCTAATTCTGTATTAAGCTTGTCCTCAGCCTTGCCATGGAAATTTACAAGGAAGTTTACAAGCAATCATGCAAAACCTGTCGAAAGGTATATCGGTAATTTCATTCAAAACATTTGCCACTCTCACAGTTTATCAAGAGAGAGTGAATGAAGTTAGGTTAACTTACCTCGACCATTTTTGACGGCATCACAACTGTCTCGTTATTCGAACTTGGAACTTCTACTTCGTTGTCGCATTCCTCCGATCTTTCCGAACTAGTCGAAGGTTCTCCCGCACGATCATCCCCAGTGAATAAACCATACGTTCTTGTAGGTCTCGAGGTAGAAGGTGTTTCCATAGAAAGCTCGCGCTCTCGCAAAACAGATGAGAAATATCCCGGTCCGAAGGACGATCTCAACTGGCCATTGCCCATCTTACTGCCTGCAGAAGCTTCTTGGGGTCGAAAGGATGACGCTCGCTCGTTAGAACCTGGATTGAAGCTTGGGTCAATTCCCTGTGAAACCCCATCGTATTCTTCTGCATCGTCGTCGTCTTCTATTCTAATAGTTTCTGATCTCTGGTTTCCTTTAAATAAATCTACAAGCCATGATGGGGAGAAGAAATCTTTCACTGTCTCTAGAACTCCCTGCAATGCAATACATAAAGACCAATGTTTGACCCTTTATTACCTTCCCACGGAACAGTATGTGCTCTCTACGGGTAGAAAACTAAAAGCACATTCCAAATAAAAAGAAACAATCAGTTCTGAAGAAGAGGGAATTAAAAAAAATCAGCACTGGACGTTGTGTCGCTCACGTACCTTCTTATGATCAGATGGACGAGCATACGGTTTCGCTGAATGTCTCTCCCTCGTATACCCTCGGATCTTGTACGAGCGAGAGTTACCAGCACCAGGCTGGTCTCCCATTGTTAGAGACACTTTCCTCTCTATGTATAGTTGAAAACACCGCAAACACACACGAAAAACTTTGTAGAAAAGTAATAAAACTATATTACGGATTTTCCACACCACATGCGACACACGACTTAGTTCGACCGCCTCTTTTCTGCTAATTTGATTGGCCTGTACGAATCACGTGCTAGTGTATCATTTTACTCTCACTACCACCCCTGCGAAAATATTTTGTAACTCAGTCAGGAAGAGTGAAAAGTACAGTATGTATAATATATTCCGAAAATGAAGCCATTAGGACAAAATTACTCATCTTAAAAGGCAAAAACTATTGTTACTGAAACATAATTTTTAGTAGAAATAGCTAATTTGAAGAGTAAGCACGGACGTCATGTTAGGAATAATGATCGGACTTTGGAGATGACTTCCGGCTAGGCCTTTATAGATTATGCCAGTAAAAGTAGCATATTATGCTAGAAGCATTGCCTTTTTTGGCGAAATTATGCTAAAATTATGCTCTTTTCCCAAATTATGCCCCTTTTTTAAAATTATGCTCTTTGAAAAAATTGCAAATAAGTTCAAAAAATAATTTGTTTTTTAATTAGAAGCCGTTGGTCTACAAGAAAGAAACGCAGCAAATCCACAATGAAATTCAAATAAACGTGTGGTTGATGTTAACATACACACCAGTACTAGACTATACATGGTCTACAATGTGACTTCCGGTTCCGGTGCATCCCAGACCCGGGCTCGGACCGTTTCAGGTGCCGCTCAGTGATTCACAGTAAACTACAAATGCTACTACTTGAACTAAAACTTAAAACATCGAATAACATCACCAAGTGCTTGGGAGTAGAGATGAACAATGATCAAATTGTAGCATGAAAAATGATCCGATAATTATCAAAATATGTGAATTATGCTAGCATTACTACTTGACAGAAATTAAGCCAGTTTGCTCAAATTATGTACATTGTAGTCACCATCTGTCTTCTCATTGACTAAACGCTCACAGTTAATTCCGGGAAACAGTGCAACCTACAGATGCAGATGATTCACTAATCTGTACCTACAGTTAGCGAATAATCTGTAGGTTGCGCGCACAATGCATGATTTCCGGTGGAGCAATGTCAAATTCACGGACAGCGAAGTAAGGATGGCTTCTCGATTCGCTTCATCGACCCAGCGAGAAATTACTTGAAGATAAAGATTCGGAAAATACTAAAAGATCGACAGTTTTCTTCAATGATACTTTATTTATAAATGCACTTAACTTTTCTGCACTTGATTGTTTTATAAAAACGGTGTTTACCACACAGTTGTACATTTTTAAGTGTTCGGAAATAAACTGTGTTCGCTGCGATAATGCCTTTGGCGTTATTTTCTTTAAAACAATGTATAATAAAACAATTGTTGGTTTCGGTTTTTGTGCTATCCGGAATAATCAAGGTCTCGGTTAGTGTTATCAGCCTCAGCCTTCGGCTTCGGCTGATAACGCTTACCTCGACTTTGGTTGTTCCGGATATCACAAAAACTGAATCCAATAATTGTTGCCAAAAATTATGCTAGCATAATCTATAAAGGCCTACTTCCGGCGCGCCAAGGTGGTTGAAACGTCCGCTCGCTACCATCGACAACAGCGGTCAAAGCAAACTCTCGAACTCGTCAAAAAACAATTTAACTAAGTACAATATGGGTTTTTCACAAAAGAGAAGGAAGTTTGGTTCGCTTTAGACAATTCAAGTCAAGCAACTGGGAAAGAACGACAGTTTCTCGTAAATTCTAACTGACTACTGACAATTTTTTAAACTGCGATATTGGATTCATAGGAAACTTCTGCCTCTGGAGATCTTTTCAATCAAGCAGAAAAATATAAGAACGCTCACTGGATG